ATTCTCATCAGTAGGTTGATCATCATCACCATCCCTACTGACTTTGGATTGCCCCAGGGCATGTAACAATATCTGCTGAAATCTTAATTCTGTAATTGGTAGAGTTGCCTTAAAAGCTCTCTGCTAAGAGACAATATTGGAATCTCACTAGAATAAAAACAAAACAAAATAAAACAAACCAATTTTTCTCCATGCACAGAGTCAATAGGTAGGAGAAAAAAAAAATCCTGTCAAATAATTTTAAGAATGGCTGTTATTTTATTTTAGCAATTATTTTAGCAATTATCTGCTCCATAGGTATTTTTGTTTCCCACCAGTCTTGTATCTCTGAGCTCTATCTTTATCATGTTTCTACCAGGAGCTGGTTCCACAGTGATGCTACCAGACGAGCCTAAAAATTTACAAAAATTTTGCTTTCAAATTACAAAGAGGGAGCTGGCTTCTGGATCTAGAAATTTGAATTCTTATGTGTCTAAAAATACTTACCTGGGAGCCTAGTCTTTGCCAAATTAAAAAAGAAAATTACATTGTGGCCTTGAAAAGTAGGTGGTTGCACCCCTCTGTCCCAGGGCTGTGTAATTTTGGCTCTGCCTGTGGGCTCTGACAGCTGTGGCAAGGGATGAGCACATGAGGGCCAGCCTGGCTTTGGCAAGCAGGCTGTGCTTACTGCCCTGGCTTCACCTTGAGTGTTAAAGAAAGGGCTTGGAATAGGGATATGATGAAGCATGGCATTTCTTAAGTTCTTTCCAGTACTTTCAGTGCTTTTAATTTGTGCTGTTTAATTGTGCTGGGGAGAAGGGGAGGGAAGCCAGGTGCATTGTACGTACTGGAGTATGAAGATTCTGCCCTTTCTGTAGAGTTGTGATGTTCTCTTCCACAAATGGTATGCAAAGAAATGCTGCAAGACCCATCTGAAACATCTGTAACTGCCCTTTTCCAGGCTTTGTCCTTGGATTAGCCCTAGAAGGCTGTGCTGCTGCAACAAGACACTACCTTAGCAGTAGGCTCAAATAACTGGCGTAATAAACATCACCCACAGCCAGCTACTGGCAAAGTTTCTGCCAGATTTCTGCAGGTGTTGAGCAGATGTGGATCCCACACAGGCAGATCTCCCCGTCAGGGATCATTTGCCTTTTATTGGAAACTGTCATTACAGTGGATCTTGTGATTGGAGCCAATTGCAGCCCAGTTAGTATAACTTGATTAATAGCCTCAAATCATTGCTATTTTTGCTGTGAAATTTATACAGTTTCCTCTGGAGAATAGGATGTGCCTAAGAGATTAAACCCTGTGACTGCTGCTCGGGTCCAGAGCCTGTGGCTTCTCTCTCCATCAGCATCTGTGGCAGGAGGAGCTGTCAGGGCTTCCCAGAGCTGTTTTGTAAGGATGTCACAAGATTGTTCCTTCAGCTGGCAGCCTGTGTTTACGTTGATTCAAGGCTTACAAAAGCATTTCCCAGGGCTAGCTCCAGATTTGATGTGTTGTCTTAGAGCTATGAACACTGGTTTGCTTTCAGTGATTTTGCCTTTCATTCTCTGCTTGCAGCTGTTACTTTAATAGCAACTTGAAGTGGCTTCTCTTAAACAGTAACCCAAGCTCCCTGTTACACAGCAATGCTTGGGCATTATTTCATTTATTTTAATTTTAGGTGTTTGGTGTTAGAGTAGAAAATGAGGTCACAATCCAAAATGGGCACAGTTAAAAAAAAATTAAATGTGGAATTCTGTCTCATTTAGAAAGAATCCAAGATAGGCAGGAAAGAATGAAATGGAGTTGGAAACTTATATGAAATAATGAAATACAATTAATGGCAGCTGTTTTTGTGGTTTTTTTTAAAACTTGTGAACACTGTTTTCACACAGATGCCTGATTTTATCTAGTGTGAACTGGTAAGGAAAATCAGTTTCAAGAACTGAAGGATGCACGCACATCAATCGAATGAGCAGCATTATTGGATCACAGATCCCTGTTGTACCAGGTTAATTGGCAAGCAAGGAAGTAAATTGAGCAGTAAATTGAACACTGACAAAGCTGCTTTCCCTTTTGAGTATTGGCTTCCTTTTTATTTCTTTCTGAAAGAAATTTAGAGGTCACAAATGGCTAGTGTATAACTTTCTACAAGTAAATATATATACTATGTTTTGGGTCAAATTTCCCTTCAAGACCAAGCGTCGTAAATGAGAGGAGAATGTGATGCAGCATTTGTTCACAAGAGCTTACTGTTTCAAACCACTGTTATTAAAAATGGCTTCATACATCCTCCATGTAGATGCAGAGGAAAATGTATAAAACCTAAAATGTCAGTGGCCACATCCTTGGAAGCCTCTGGTCACATCCACCATTTTTGAAGGCCAGGTCTGAGCTCAAATTCACAACAAGCAGTGAGGGTTTGGTAGCACAGTAGGTCCATGTTGTAGGGGTGGTGGTGGGATAAACAACCAGCAGGGGGGCTTTCTTTGACCATGTAACTCACCACAGTTCTGGAATACATCAGTGTCCTGCACAGACAACCATGGCAGAAAAAACCATATGCCACACGTACCTATAAAGTCTCCATTTCCTTTATGCATATACTTTTTTCCCAAATATCCCATTGGTGCTTTTCTTGGAGGTGACTTTTCCCCCTCTTTTTATTACTAGTAATTCCCTTTGGGGTAATTTAGCATTCTCTTTCAGTGTGTGTGTTTTGAGGAGGGGAAGCCCCTGCTGTTGTTCAAGGCCATGTTGTATCCCCACTACCGTTGGTTCATTCCTGTACAGAGCCAAAAATATTTAGCTGATGAATCATTCAAGAAAACACAAATGAATTGTAAATACATAAAATAATGTTGCCTTTGACAGTAGGAAAAAATAGAAATCACATTTTATTCCACTCGGTAAGGCACTGAGCTTTTTTGCTGTTGTTCATGGGCTTCACCTTTGCCTTCTCTTGTCCTCTTCTTCTCCCTGCTTCAAAATGTCCAGAGAAAGATACAGAGAGGGTCCACTGCTGTGTGCTGTCTCCTGGATGCTTTCATCCTAGATTAAGCAAAGCTTTAAACAGCATTTCATCCATAAATTTGGAAATTGAACTGGAGGGGAGGAGTGGGAGAATGCTGCAACTGCAGCCAAAGGGCAGCTGAGTAATTTGTCTGAAAACCAGCCCAATATGGTTTCATCCAAAGTTTTCAAACTCTTTCACATGGAAAAGAAGTAGAGCCATAGCAACCGCAAAAAGTGTGGTATGTACATAATTACCAAGAACCCCAAGTAAATATTTGTGTGGCTTTTCCAGTACATCTGATCCCTTTTCTTAGCAATAACAACTGAAGAATTAGCCATTATCAAGATCTAAAGACGTATTTGAAGCAGAAGGAATGAATGATTCGTCAGGAATACCTGCATAATAAACAGCATAAGGTGCCACTTTGGAGGATTTGTGTGTCTGATATTTGGGGAAGGCCTTTTGAACATTTATTAAATACTGTGGGCAATGGGAGTTCAACTGGAAAAATACCTGCACAAGGATCTGGGTTGTATGGGAACATTTTAGGGCTGAATAGACATTTGGATAAGATTCCAGTTCAAGTCCCCCAAGACCCATGGGAGTGTGCAATCCACAACGTGTTGGAATATATCCTCCACCAAAGAAACCACATCCGTACCAGTGGCTTGGGAATGGCCTGCAGAGGACACAGCTGTCACCTCTGGGTCTCTGTTTGTGCTCCCTGTATGGAGGCTGAGAAACATTTCTCAGGCACCAAGACATTCTCCCAGATCATTGCAAAAAGTAGATTTCAGCAATGCAAACACTTAGATCCTGTTACTAGCCCCAAAAGGACTTTTTTACAGGTCAAAAAGCTTTCAATCCTTTTTATTTCCCTGTGGTATTTACTTTTCCCCCATGTGATGACCCATATAAGAGCTGGTGGATAAGTCCTAGCCAGACCCCTGGTAAATATTGCTTGTATTAGACACAATGTTAATCACAGCTGTAATGATTTCTTAACTTTCCATTAAATATTTCCAGCAGCTCTTGACCTAGCCAAAAATCTTTCCTTTTACCCTCAAGAGATAAAATCCACACCAGTTTCAAGGGCACAGAGTTAAGATAATCCTAAAAACTAAGATTATAATATTTTTCATGCTTATAATTTGGCCTGGTTCAAGAGCTCTCCAAGGCAGAAAGTGTAACTATAGCAAATAGCACAAACAGAACTAATTACTTATTTTAGAATTAATAACTTCTGGCATAGACTGTGAGTCATTTCCTTGCTGAGCTAAATTTTTTACTCATCAAATTTGCTCATGGAGTAATTATCTTGAAGACAGGGAGATTTCTTTCCCAGAACAAGTTTGAAAAGACATTAATATCTTGTAAGACCACGTCCCAGATGATTCACTGATAAATCATTACAGGCACTTAGAGAATGAAGCTTGTGTAACACAACCATAGCTAACAAACTGCATAATGACAGAGGAAAAGAAAAACAACAGAAAATATTTATTGACATAATAAGTGCATCATATAATATCAGAGCAAAGGTTTGCATTTATTTTCTCAAATGGCTTGTCATTTTGCCCATTTAAAAATATACAGTTTTCTGTCAGTCTTAAAAAAGCTAAGAACATGAAAGAATCCTCAAAGCTACTTCTGGAGGGGTTTTTTTTAACCTAGATGCTCTAACACTCAGAGCAAAAGGCTGGTGCAAAGGGGACTCAAATATACTTCTAAATCCATTGAGATTAGAGTGAAATTTTAAGCTTTCAATTTAATAACATTCTTTTTTTTTTTTCCCACTCATTCTTTAATCCATGAATTTGTAGATGGAACTATCTGCAATAATCTGTGCTTTAAAATTAGAAGCAGTTGATTAAATTTCTACGGGTGCCAAACACAAACAGAAGACACTTGAAAAAAAATGTATTGCCTAGAATTTCTAGATACATGCAAAAAATGGAGCCAACATTTAAATGCCTTAAGTCTGAGATTTTTTGTTTGATGATTTTTTTTTTTTTTCCAGTGGAGAAGAGCCTTTACAGGAATCCCAGCAAAGGTCAGGTTTGAGAAACTCCCCTTACTCACTACACTCTTAGTGATCCAGTGTACTGGGAGCTTGATACTACCAAGTCTTTTGGTCAGAACACAGATCTGCTGTTTTCCAAGGACCCTGAATGAACAGAAGCACAATCCCTACAAATTCAGGCAAGGACTGTAGATCAGGGTCAAAACCCCTGCCTGGTAGCAGTCCCTGGCACAGCCTGAGTCCTCTCACAGCCCTTTCCTTGTTGCTGTTGGCTGGGAAGAAAAGGCTTATCTTTAACAGTGAAAAATTGTTCATGAAACTTGTGAATTTCACATCTTAATTCATACTATTGTGTCTCCCATCTGCCTACTCTTTCTCACAAAAGGTACCTCTGCTACCTTGCAGCCATTTCGTCTGTTACTTCAAACACTTTCTTTATCCCTTGCATACTATCTCCATCTTCCTGGTCTTCCATACCATCTACTTGTTTTTCTTTCTGTTTTATTTGCTGTTTGCTGCCAGGTCATTCCTTATCAGCAGAATAGAAAGAACTCCCCATCTGCTTCTCTCCTCCACATGTGGATGAGTTATTTTTTTTTTATTTAAGCCATATTTGTGCTGATTCATACTCCATATAGACACATAAAACTGAAAAATTAAGATGGTAAATCTTAAGGAGTCAAGGAATTCTTTAAGCAATTATTAAAGCATTGTGTACTCTATACTTCATGTAACAGAAATCACTTTCCTATATAATATTTTGGCCTTTTTTTGTTAAGTTGATACAAACTTAGACTTAATTCTTCACATTGCAGATATCCCCCTTGATTTCCATGGTGTGTCTCAGAGCCTCAGATTAAACACATGCACAGACACCTTGCAGAAGCTAGTCTGGGCATGTTAATGGCTTGCATATGAGGTTTATCTTTGGCCCTGAAAAAAAATTACTTGTTGACTTTATAAGACTTTATATGATTTACTTTATTCCAGTAGTCCTCTAGGAGAAAAGAGATTTGACTGAGGTTGTTTTTTCTGAAAGCCAGGAATACAGTTAAATAAAACAATCTACTATACCAACTCTTACAGAAAACAATTAGTAGTGATGGAAAGAAATGATGTACAGCCTGATACCTGAGAGAGGAAAAATCCTTTAGGGAAACATCACAAGGGCTGGAAACCCAGCCTTGCTGCTGGTGACCTAGACAACAGCAAGATCTGATCTACTGAGATCATGTTTTCCTCCTCGTATTTTCTATTGGTAAATAGATAGTAACTGCAGGTTTTTAAGAAAATCTGAGATGGCTCAGAAATTCTTGTCCCATTTGCAGTGGTGGGTACCGAGAGCTCTATGCAGGACATGAAATTCCTGGGATTGTGTGCAAGAACTTGATTTATGAACTGTTCCAGAAGTACCTGTAGTAGGTAGTCACAATTGCCTACATAAAGCATTTTTTTCTCTATTGGGCCAAGTGGAAAACCAAAATGTTGCCTAGCATGCTGAGACAACAGGAGAAACATTTTGTCTGTGTTGTCTTCTACCTGCATTCCCTGGCCTGAAGATGCTGACAACACCAAAACTCCATCAAAACAACATGTTCTCCAAGCCCGTATATTTGCATGTGTTTGTGCATGGGCACTGAGACACAGAGGTTGGTTTGTTTGTTTTAAATTAATATTTATGTCGCTCTGGCCAACCTTTTTTAATCTCTTAGTACCACAGAATGAAGCACTGAGCATCTAGTATTGATTCTCTGAAAAGAAAGAGTTTTTATCAGCCTGGTATGGGAACTTCAGGTAGCTATAACAAGACAATTTGGAAGCTGACATCAAACATTTTTTATTCTTACCTTGCTCCCAATTCCCAAAGGGATAAAGAAATAGATTTTATTTCTTCTTCTGAGGCGCACACCTAAATAAGACTCAAAATAATAAGGAATTTACTAAGCCCCCTTATCTTGACCAGTTTTGGACCCAAATCAACAATGACAATAATTGTAAAAAAATCTATGGACCTGGGTTGTCTTGTATTAGATTAATGATGTAGCACCTTATTTGTCACAGTTACTATGGAAAAAGGCATTTAAGAAAAACATTACAGACCTGACTAAAGAATACTATAAATCTCTTGCATAGAGCGAGAGCATTAAATACCGGACTGAGGTGATTTAAAATTACTGTCAGCAAAGCCACACGTGTTAATAGAGATGTTAACAACAATAAAAAATAATTGACCCTAAAGTCTTAGAGATTTATTTCTAAACTTTAAAAATTATTATTAGTTTTCTGCAAACAATCACACAAAATAAAAACAAAACATAATAAAGGAAGAAAAGTTGAGTGTTCCCTGGAAAAGTTGACATCAAAAGAAATAGTTTCCTTTAAAGCGAGATCTCTTCCAATTAATTAAAAATTGTTAGGGTTATGATATGGAAGCAAGTCTTAAATTTTTATGCTTTGGCAATAGTAGGACAGAGCTGCCTGCACATTCAGTGTGTCAGGTTATATACTTTCAGCCATCTACCAAAAAAATGGGTTAAAATCATCTTATTTCCCCAGAAGACATTACAAGCATGATTTAAAGATTCCAACAAACAAATAATATTTTAAAATCTTGTTATATTTTTTTTCTCCTGCACAGGAAGAAAATGCATTTTGGTCAGCATAAATTTATGGTAAAAAAAAAAAAATTAAATATTATGGTGGTGAATACTCTGAAAGTATTGAAACCCAAAGGATATGATCAGAAAGGCACAGTATCTTTTTATGTTATTAGATTAACATAGCACCATAACAATTCTGTGTACTTCAAAATCTTGACATAAAATAAAATATATAGACTTACATAGCAATCAACAACAGTTTTTAAGAAGGTGGTTTGTGTTTAAAGATGTGTAAAAGTCAAGCTCAGTTTGTGTCTTCATTAAATATGTGGTTCTGCAAACATATTGAACCAAATTATTTGCTAACTACTGCTGCTATCTAACAAGATACCTTTTATAATGCACAGGATAGTTCTACCATTCAGAAGGTGCTATAATTTAGTTGGGAGAAATTTTTAGTTAAACTTGTGAATCATGTTGAGGTGGAGTCTGAATATAACACGATTAAAACCACACACTTTGCAAAACTGTAAAGCCAAACTAAAATAATGATTTCCAACTCCCAGTCTAATACATACTATCCTATCTATGAAACTGAACTAATATAAAAGTAATTTATAAAAACTGAAGAAATGTATAGCACCCAAAAAATAAATCATCTGTGAAGCTCCAAATGATTGTCAAGTAGCCACTTCAGGAGTCAGTGACTTCCCCCAATGGTAAAGCTAAACATTTGACTAGAAACTAAACCTACAGCTCTCCAAATATTAATTGGAAGGCAAACACGTGTGTTTAAGATTTCTATAGCTTCTCAAAGAATGTTTAAAGGCATTAAGCCATGTCCAGATGTGTCTTCTTCCAAACATGGAAAATTTGTTCATTAATATATTTTTTTGCTGTTTTCACTGAGCAATGAAGTGAATTTGTCTTGAAGGTGTAACCCCCAACTACATAAATTTGGAATTTCCATGGGAGCGTTCCTGCAGCAACCAGAAGAGGCAGTTCTCCAAGCTATCAATTATTAGCTATAGTGCTGCTTCTCAACATGGACCTGTGGTCTTTAGAGAATGCCAGAATAATGTCTTGTTCTCATGCAGTTCTCTGGATCATTCTGCACATACAGTGACATGCTATATGCACAGCTTGCATTTGAGGAATTGGAACAGAACCCTGAGAAAAGCAATTCCATTGGAAAAAAAATAGATGTTGTTTAGTAACACCAGTTTGAGATGTTTCAACCCTTCCCCTGGAAAAAAATATTACAAATAGGTGCAGCCATGTTTTTTCTCATTAATGACTTGGATTTATCACAACTGCAAACATAAATATAGTTTGGGATTTTAAGTGCGTATCTAGGTCGATTACAATTAGAAATATTTTGTCCGACAATTCTACCCCTCCCCTAGCAATTCAGTATTCCTTAAGTCACCATAGCACTACTTGCGAGCTCAGAGTTCAAAAACATTCTGGTGTGGAGTGATGTTCTTCCAGTCTCTGTTGTCTTTCACTCTACGGCGGTGCGGGTGCTAAGCTAGTGAGGCTTGGCTCTCTTCAGCCTTGTGTGCAATTCTCATCATTACCATGTATCCAGAAGCAAATCTGGGCATATTTGAGAGGAGTAATTCGTACTGCTACATTGTAATCCTGCTGTTCACCATTGATGTCCACCCACTGATGGCCTGAGTAAACAGCGATGATCTTGCGTTTCCACTTCTTTTTGTTTGGCTCCTTCAGACGGAGATAGATGCCAGATCCTGTGGAGCCAGGCTCAGCATCACAGTACTGATAAAACAGATCATTGGACTCATCAGAAATGCTACAAAATCTATAGACCAGCTGCCCAGACCGATCATTGTCAAAACCTGAGAAGTGGATCATGCTCCCAGGCATCATTTTGATTGTTGGGCTGATTCCCAGCTCCATGTATTTCCTTTTGTGGGGACGCTTGAGCTCAAGAACAGCATAATCATAATCCAGGGCAATATCCCCAGAGACACCCTTAAACCAGCCTTTCGGGATGTGCGTACTCTTCACCCGTGTCCACTGGAAGGAGGGCGTGCCATCTGAGGTCCTTTGCCTCCTCCCAGATCTCCTCTGCTTTCTCTCATCACCTTTGGATTGTCGCCTTAATTCTGTGGCAGCTTTGGAATCCTCTTTGGCTGCAGAAATGTCTCTCCTACTTCTTTTAGCGTCTTTGCGTTTCCTGCCGCTGCCTCTGGATTTTGTCTTCATCAGGCCCACCCTCAGCCTTTTGCTGCCCTTAACATAATCCTTGCCGTTGTGCAGACAGTGGGCTGCTGTTAGCACGTGCTTGGGGGAAACCAGAATGCCACTGCAGCCCGTGGAGATCTTCACAGCTGTGTTGAACGGAAAGTTGGTCATAAACCTCTTGTCATAGATGCTGAACCTACTGTCTGTTCCATATATCTGCCTCTTCTTTCTCAGAGGCCTTCGTGTGGTTGTGTTCGCAGCTGGGTCAAGCACTGCTCCGAGGACATTCACTTCAGTCAGGGTCCGTGTGCCATTTTCAAAAACAGTCTCATAGGATAAGAGGCTTTTCAAGTCAGACAAGCTTGGCACTGGCAGTTTTCTTTGACATTCAATTCCACATACACTATTCAGCTCTAATTTGGCTTTTGCTTCAAATTTAGGGCTGTCAAGGGAGAATGTTCTTTCTCTCACAATCTGGGGAATCTTCTTTAAATGCCAAGTAAAATCTTGTTCAGTTTCTGTTCCATTACTGAGACCCAATATAGGTATGAAAAATATGAACAGCAGTAACATGTGCTCCATTTTATTTTATTTTTTTCTAAAACAAGAAAGAGAGATTTGAAAATACACTTTGGAAATATACACAGTTATCTTAATATCTTCTAAGTATAATCATGCAATTTTAGAGCTGACATGAGTGGAACAGAATTCTACCATCTGCTCAAAATAGAAATGCCTCAGATATTCCCCATATTGCCTCTGACTCTTCCAATTGTTTCTAGCAAGATGGGTTCAGATAATTCAGCCAGCATCCATGCTGAGCTACCTACTGGAAGATGAAACCAGTTGAGTTTTACCTGTTTTTCCCTCAATGGACAGCAGTCTGAGTCATTCCACTCGGTAGAGCATCCTGGTTTTATTTATTCCAAAGGCATGCAGTTACATATTGTGTTTCTGCTTCTCTTTTCTATAGCTATATAGTTGAAGGTAGAACATGATTGAAAACTCTCAATGCATTCAAAAGTTGGGATCCAAGCAGAGATGGATAGACAGACTACACTCATGAGACTTAGGAACCCTTGGGAAAACTGACCAACTGTGCTCTTTCATGTAATGGCCAAAATGTGGTTTTAGCAGACTTAAGATTAAAAACCTTGAAAGCTACCAGTGGTTCTCCATTACCCACCCAGCTGAGAACTATGAATCTGCCTGCATGAAAAATGGCACTTTGCTAACTGCTATCCCAGGGAACCGAGGTCTTCTAGGATAGACACACAAATGAGGAAAGGAGAATGTTGCTGGTGTAGAGGAATCTCCTGGTTATATATACATGCAGCAAAGCTCGGCCAAGTAGGAAGGACAAGTCAGGTTACTCATCACATGCCTTTTTCAGCATCCTATAAAGGCTGTAGGAACTGTGCTGTCTGTGCCTTATGGTCACGTGTGGAACACCCCACCTAGATGGGGTGATGCACCACACCAAGAGCTAATACTTTAAATGGGAAAGACAAAAAGCAGTATTATTCCCATCTGTAGTTGGGAAACATGCAGAAAAATGTAACATTGTTAGAAGTCTGAGGCAGAGCCAGAAACTGAGCCCAGAACTCTTGATTCTGAACTCAAAACATTACTGAAAAGACCATTTTTCTCTTTTGGCAGCACTGATGCCAATGGCATTATCCAACTACTGGCAGCTGCCACTGGGAAACCTGTGCTCAGTTCCAACATCCTTCATTCCAATTACATGGAAACCTCAGCAGTGAAAAAATAAAGGATCTTTGATTAAACTTTAAAAGCCAAGCAATTCAAGGATTTGTATGTGGTTAAGCTCTCTGGTTTACATTGCAATGACAGTGTAGGCCAGGGCAAACATAACCATTTTCCTTCATTTTAGTTTAGAATAATAGAAGTGGTGCTCTCCAGTGAAACAGCCTGGCTACAGGCTAGCTGAGGATCTAGCATGAAAAGTAGGGGTATATGGAAAAAGAAGTGGGAATGTTGCTTTCAAAGCTGTATAATGGACCAGTGACTCCTATGATTTTTGAGTCATCTTTACCCTATAGAAGCCTATAGACATATATTTTGTCTATAGTAAGTTATATTTCTAATTTTTTAGTTAAGTATGCACTACAGTTCAACCACAGCTTGTTGCTTCTGATGCCAAGTTCAGAGGGTGGATTTGTTTTAGCACAGTTTTGACACTGTTCACCTTTGCCAGAGTAGAACACCAACTTTGAGCTGGAGTCCACTTACTAGGATATATATATATATACATATATATACACTACATTTTACAATAAAAGGAAACTGTTCCTGGCTTTAAAGTAGCTAACTCGGGTTTTGGAGAGATGTGTGGACTTTGTCAAGACATCTGGAGGTTACAGTGACTCACAGATCTGAACTTTGGGATGTATGTGGTCATATGAAAAGATATCTGAAGGTTTTGAAAGCAGAGCTGGAAAATCACCCCAGGCACAAGATTTTGTAGAGGAACACCAATTGTTAGCACCAGTCTAGCTTATTGGTATAGCAGAAATGTGCACATTTAAACATTAACTTTGGTATAAAAAGTTACCTTCAAAGTATTGGTTTCATTTTTGCTCAATTAGCACTAAATCTGAGGAGGGATTACTATTTTACATATCTGTGGGTAAGTTAGAAGGTGCCAAAATAAAAAAAATACTACCGTGAGAATATAAAAATACCTTCCTGACCTGACCAAAGGCCTGCTTGTCCTAAAATCCTGATTCTGACACTGACTAAATGTGGTTGCTTAGGGTAGAGGATAGGGATAGGAACAGGGCAACCATGTATGCCCCTGCTCCCTCACAGTTTCTTAACTTACAACCAGTTGTACCTGGTGAACTTTAGAGCAGAAGAAATTTCTGTAGTTTAAAGAAACGTTAGTTAATTTCTCTTCCACAGTTTGACAGTCTTCCCTTGAATACATATAGAATTTTGTAGCCATGATGTTCTGCATCCAGGAGTTCCACAGCTTAACTGCATGTTGTATGAGGAAGTATCTCCTTGTCTTTATTTCCAACCTGTCACAAAATAGCATGGTTTGTGGATAAATAATGTGCTAATAATGTAGAAAAGCTGGTTTAAATTTGCTTTGCCCTAATACAGCTGCTGAACAAGACAGTTCTAATGTCAGGCTTGAGAATGATTTTTCTATTTTTCCCTAGAATACTCCTCCCTTTCTCAGCTTTTCCTCAGGGTCTGGATATTTGATATTCCTCTGTAGCTGAACTTTGTGAGCCCTAAGGAAAGTTCAGCTATTAACTGTTTGTTCACACAGAAAGTCTAGGTTGATATCATTCCACTGTGATGGCTGTTGTCTTCCCAGATGATCTCATAACTAGGTTAAAAAAGAAGCCCATTTTTTTCTCTCTGCTTTATAGAGAGACTATCTGCAAGCAAATGGGTGGAGTACTATGGCTCCCTTCTGCCACTCTTCAGAAAGAAAAAAAACCAACAAAACAGTCAAAGCACAGAACTTTCATTAGATGCCTTGGAGCCTTCCATTTGAAACACGATACTCAAGTGCTCACTACTTACAAAGGCAGTCTTGGAAGCCAAGATTTTCCTCATTTATAATGAACCACTTGTCACTGGGAATGAACTAACTACACTTCAGGATAACTGGAAGAAAATCAAGGAACTTGATAAACATGGTAATTCTCATTACAGACCAGAGCAGTGGTCCTGCTAGGCAGCTTTGTCATTTCCAGCCATGCATTTAAAATCCATTTACTAACCCCATCTCTACTGTTTAGAGGAGGCCAGCTCCAAGGACAGGCAATGTCAGCAGTTGCCATAGCCCAGTGCAAGCTGCTGGTAAAAGGGAAACTCAGGGCTCCTCTCACCAGATGATGAGGACGTAAATGTGTATGTGGGTGCAAAAATAACTTTGCCGAGTGGGAGAAAGGGAGAGAGAATACAGCCTCCAGGGGAAGGAGGAAATGTCCTGAAAAGGCTTCAAGCTGATTGCAAGAAAAAAAACCCTCAATAAAAAAACTCATTTCCACTCTTCTGCCACACCCCAAAGATGCTCTGTCCTCTCCTTTCCTTTGCTCCTTTCCCATACAGATTTTGGGCTGGCTTACAGTAATCGGAATTCTTGAGTCAGCTCTTTAAAGTATGACAAATTGCTTGAGAGATGACAAGATGGAAACCAGAAAGAGAGATCCCCAGCTATATGAAAACGTTGAAATTCTTCCTCCAGTTTCCAAACTCGGCTGATAACTTTGGTATCATTCCAGCTACCAGGCATATCCATACAAGTAAAACTATTTTTAGTTCTTCTCATTTCTTGCTTCCAACATTAAACCTTTCTACATCCACAGGACAAAAAGTACCTAATTTTTAGGATATCCTTCAAATATTTTGTCATTATAATCTACCTTACTCGAGCCGAATGCATGTCAGATGCTCAGGAAAAGGTTTATAGTCAAGCAGAACTAGAATAGGTTTCTCTTCAGGCTATCATGGAAGAAATTTACACATCAGTGTAGCTCAGACAGAAGAAAAATTCAGACCAGCTTCCTGGACACTTCCAGTGTTTTATCTTGGTCTGTTCAGTGCAGCCTCTACCATGGGATTTCCTTCTTCTTGTAGGAAAGTCAACACATTTCAAACTAAGCTTACACAATTTTAAATACAATTTCCAGGCCATGAAATAACAGAGGCTGCTACAGTAACCATCTCCTTTAACCGCTTTTGGCCTTGTTCTTGAAATAACCTGGAAGTTAAAATTCACAGAGAAAAATAGAGAACAAATTTTTGATATCTCACACTCCCTGGAAGAAACCATTGCCCCAATCTTATCCGCCACTGCTCCCCCTTCCCTCCTCCAGGTGCGCTCACTCTGTACAGCGGTGTATGGATGCTGTCCTCCTCCCTGACTTGCGGGAAAAAACCCTCTGCGGCTCCTGGCTCTTACAAAAATTTAGGCAGCTCCAGCACTCATAGGAAGAACTGATTTTGCACGGCAGAGGTGACAGCTCATTTCGGAACTCCCGCACGCGGGGAGAACACAGGACGGCGAGCCGGCGGCGCTGTGTGCCGGTGCGGCGCGGTGCCCGGCGCTGCCGCGGGGCGGCGCTCCCGCAGCGCCGGCGGCCGCTCCGTGCCCGCTCCGGCCCCGCGCCCGCCCCTCCCCGCCCGGGACCCTCTCCCGGAGCCGGAGGGGAAGGAGGTCGCGCCCAGGCCGCTGCTCTGCTGCTGAGCGGCTCCGGGGCTCCAGCCCCGCCAGCCGGGCAGCGGCCCCGGCACGGCTGCGGGTGGGCACAGACCGGGAACCGGCCGGAGGAAGGGCGGGGACGGGAGGGCTTTGCCGGGATGGCCGCCTTGCCTCTGCCCTCTCCGCTGCTGCCGGCCGCTCCTGCGTGCTCGCGTGTTAAAGCCCAGGGCTATCCTGGAAGAAGAGGAGGATTTGGGGAGCAAGCCCTGATCTCTCCTTAGGCATCCCCTGGTCCTGCTTTCCGCAGGAGGCTCTGCTTTTCCGCGCCTGATCCAAAGGAGTTTCCCCCCTCTACAAAGCCTGCAAGTTAAATACCTCGGCACGGGTCTTTTATTTTTGCTATTCCAAGATAAATCTGCTTCCAGCAGCGACGAATCTGGATGAAATTGGTGTCAATTCCAGAGGAGCGCGGAGATGGTAGCGCTAATATTGAGGCGATGAATCAGAATTAAAGGAGTTTGTTTTGAAGGGTGAAGAGGCTCTTTGCCTGCTCCCCGCAGAAGGCACAGCACAGAGACAAACCCCCGAAAACCCAGTAAATATGCCCCTTGCCTCAGTCCCGTTAAGCCGTTTTGTGAAACCGGCTTTAAATACGAAAAACAAGAAACAGATAAACGCGTGGCCTTTTAGTCCTTTCAAAAATATATCCATCAGGCTAAAGAGGCAGGAACTTTATACAAAACATCTCAGCTGCCAAGCTCAAGGTCCTGACATCGCTCAGCCCCATCACTTTTTAAAAACGACCCGCGTAGGAAGAATGACATCGCTAAAATCGATCACCTTAGAGACGCTGGTTACCTCGCACTGCCCGGTCCCGGCACCGGGCAGTCCCCCTCAGCCCCCATCCCCAGCTCCGCTCCTGCCCACCCAGGTCTCTGGGGGCTGCCTCTTCCCCAGAGGCCGCCGCTGGGAAGGGTCTTGGTCATACCTGGCAGCCCGCAGGAGGGACGGAGGGGAGGGCGGCCGCAGCCCCGGGGCTCAGGCTCCCGGCTCCCCGCTCCGCGCCGCTCGTCCGCCGCCCAGCGCCCGCGGCTACTGAGGACGGGGCGGGGGGAGCGGCCAGGTCTTCCCAGGCGGGGGAGGGGATGGAAAAAGGAAAAAAAAAAATTAAAAAAAAAATAAAAAGAAGGCGAGAGGGAGGAAGCCGAGGGGGAGGGCCGAGGGGAGCGGAGGCAGATCTCGGTGTCTCCTCGGGTGGGAAGGGAAGAAGGGGCTCTGCTGCGGGGCGGGGAGGCGCATCGCCCCGGCTGCGGCTTCCTCTGTGCACGGGGCCGGGGTGACCAGCACAGGGACGGGCCGGGAGAGGCTGCCGGGCCGGGGTGGCGAGGCGGGGACGAGCGGGGAGGTGGCGGGACCCGGTCCCGAGGGACGGGGGGGTTCCCCGTTCGCACCGCTCCACCTGTGCGGGTGGCGGCGGCGGGGAGGCCCTCCCCCTGCCCCGCCGGAGCGCTCCTGGGGAAGGCGAGGAGCGGGGAATGGCGTTCCCACGGCCCGTGGCCTGCCCGTTCCCCACTACCCTCACCCCTGTCTCCCAGCCCCGCTCCTCTGGAGCGCCTCGCTCCTCAGGGACCCTCCCTGCCCCCCTCCTCTGCACCATCCCCGCTCTTCTGACCTCAGGCCAGGTGAGAAGCACCTTCCTCCTTTCCTCATCACTCTGCCTCTTTGCCTTCCTTCTTTCCCTCGGTGTCCCTGTGGTCTCCCCTCTCAAGGCAGAACGCTTTGTGTGGTGGTCTTGCCCCCTTGGATCACCTCTAGGCACTACAAGAAGCTTTCTACTGCCACGCAAATGCGCAAGGTGAAAACTACCCTCTTTCTAAACTAAGCAGTTCTGCAAGTGCTTAACCCGAGCACTTCCATTGAGCTCATCTGATGTAAACTCACTTCATACTAAATGAAGGCTCACTGATTTGCCAAAACCAGCAGGAAATTTGTGGCATTGCTGGAGATCAGAGTGAGATCTCCAGAGTGCTGCTTCGTTGTTTTAATTATAGCCATATTCTTCCTTTAAAAGTTTTAACTTCAAAAACTTAGTGGAACCAAATTTGTAAACAGGTTGGAAGTAAGGCTTTGTCCAGCAAACTGCAGTTTCATTTTGAAGACAGGCTTATTTCTTAGAAATGTAAATTTCGTTTACAGTCCTGTTTTTGTCATTGTTTGTGCACTCAAAAACAAAGCAAAATAGTAATAATATAATAATAATTCATGTGGTGAAGAAAATGAGCTGAGGAATTACCAATGTAATTAACAAGCTAAGGCAGAAATGTAAGTAAAGTAGTTAAGTTTTACCATTTATTGAACATAAGAGCTTCCACACTGGGTGAGCCCAAGGGCTATTGAGCCAACATGCATTGCTGAAGGCAGTAGTTCCCTCCAGCACTTTCACTGCCACCAATATTTCAGACTCAGAGATTTTATGAGGCAGGTGAAGTTTCTATAACCTTAGTAACCTTCACTGGATTTCTCTGCCAGGTACTTTCCCCCTCTTCCCTTTAACCTCTATGGATCCGTAGCATCTACAACTTGCTCTCAACAAGTTCTCCAGGTCAAACATATATTGTGCAAAATCTTGCCTCTTTTAGTGTCTTTTCAACCTGGCTACTGTCATCTTCATTTGGTGTTCACTAGTTCTCTATCATATACTCTGTAACTCCTCCCACACTGAAGAATTCTATTTAATTTAGCTGTGCTCAAAAACGTTCCTGTTTTCCATCCTGTTCCTGAAGTTCAGGGACCAGGAAAGCATTTGAAGGAAGATGCAGCCAGTGGCAAGTAGAAAACAAGGAGCAACAGCTACTTGCATTGGGCAGCTGTGTTGAGCTACAACTGCAGCTAGGGAGGTTCAAACTGGTCATGGGGAAAAATTTCTTCACCAAAAGGAACATGCAACACTGGAACAAATTACCCAGGCAGGTTGTGGAATCGCCATGCTTGGTGGTTTCCAACACTCAGATAAACAAAGCCACAGCTGATCTGATCTAGTGCTGGCAGTAGTCCTGCTTCAAGGGAAAGTTTGGGCCAGGTGACCTGCAGAGGTCCCTCTCAACCAATATTTCTATGATTCTTTACCTACACAGAACATGCAAGCAAAATATGGATGTTTTTGTAGCAGCAAAAATATATTATTTGTTTTGTTCTCGGCTGATTTCTTATCACTTACTAGTATTTTTTTTTTATTTTTTTCATCTGGTGATCATCAGGCTGATGTTACTACAGGACTATTTTCTTAACTCTAGGGTTCCCTTTCCTGAGAAGTAATGGCCAGATCAGATCCTGCCATTTCATACCTGAAGGGTCCTTTTCCTCTTGTGTAGTGCTTTGCATTTATCTACACTGAACTCCACTGCCATTTTATTGCTTGGTCACTCCCATAAACTTTCCTGCAGATAATCAAGGTCATCTCATCTTTATTAAACTAAATAATTTGACAGTCTCATCAGGCTTTGCCACCTGACTACTCATCTCTTTTCCAGATCATTTATGAATATGCCGAATAGTACAGCACAAAGCAGGTTTTTATTGGTAACCTGTCATCCCAGAAAAACTGATCCCCTTCTCCTGTACTTTATTTCCAGTTTTTCAGAAAATACAGATGGCTCAGGTTCATTTCTGTTTATTGAACTCTAGGTGATGGGATCAGTGTGCTTTCGACCCATTAGTCCCCTCCCTCCTGATTTTGAAATCTAAATTTCAAATTTGAATTATTTTAAACAATTTTTTCTTTAATTCTGTCTCATAGTTTAACCCCAGCCAACAACTAACCCCCTCACAGGTTCTCATTCACTTTCCCTACCATAGTGGGATAGGGAAGAAAATCAGAAAAACTTAAAACCCATAGGTTGAAACAAGAATAGTTTAATAATTGAAGTAAAGTAGGACACTATAGGAATAATAACCATAATCATATTCATAGTAAGAAAAATGGGAGTAACAAAAAAAAAAAAAAGAGAGAGAGAGAGAGAGAGAGGAATAAGAGAGGAATAAACCTCCAGAAAGACAAGTGATGCACAACACAGTTGTTCACCACCCACTGACTGAAGCCCAACCCAGCCCTGAGCAGTGATCTGTGCCTCCAGGCCAGCTTCCCCCAGTTCATACACGGGGCATGATGTTCTGTAGTGTGGAATATCCCTTTGGCCAGTTCAGGTCAGCTGTCCTGGCCATGCTCCCTCCTGGCTTCTTGTGTCCCTCCTCACTGGCAGAGCACGAGACACTGAAAGTCATTGATCAGGGTAAGCGCTGCTGAGCCACAACTAAAACATCAGTGTATTACCAACACTATTCTCATACTAAATCCAAAATACAGCACTGAACCAGCTTCCAGGAATAAAATTATCTATATCCTAGCCAAAACCAGGATGCCTGTTGCATGAATATTTTATTTCTTGTAATAACAAGATTATTCGATATGGATCATTCTTCATAAATAATGAGAGATTTAAAAAAAAAAATTATCACAATAAAATTTTAATCAAAATATAGTTTGCAGAAGATGCTAAGTAATTTATATTTCAGAGTACTGATTCTTTTAAAATACACTGTATAATATATATGGTAGGGCTAAAAAAATATAATTGTTGGAAAATTTCCAGAATGCTAATTTTATCCTTCAGAAGTAGTTTTATCTCATCAAAAGACTAGTGAAGCAGTCTGGCATTTTAACATGTTCCAAAAATAACTTTAAGATCATTTACTAACTGAGAGGTGTTCACTTGGAACTTTCAAAGACTGTTAGCTAAAATTAAAAAAAACCCAAAAGTCAGAGAAAAAAATAAAACTAAATCTGATTAACATCAGGAATGCACTAACTTCTACCAAAATTCTTCCTGCATATCCACAAAGAATATAAAGTAAAAACCCCAAGTTTTTACCATCAGATTTTTAGCCTGGGTTTGAGTGAATTCATAGAACTTTTGTATTCTTATCTTGGGGTAAATAATGCGCAAAATGGGTTACAAAATGTTTCCAAGTAAGATTCCCCCGGATTTTTTTTCAGGTAGAAATTTGAGATAGGAGCTTCAATTTTCCCTGTGGGGAACATACACTGAGCATGGATGTACTGGCTGGGCAGCTGCTCCTGGAATGTCATTTGGCCCTACGGTGCTGGATGAACACGTGGGTCTTGCACACATGCAAAAAATGTTTGATCATGGCAAAAACATGCCTGGTCTGCAACCTCCAAATTGTATCCCCTGTAGTGCACCTAGCCACAAAATATTCTTTCACACGTTAAAGAATAGAAGTCAGGCAGTGCAACTCAGGAAAACTGAAACAGGGTTCATGGATGTATATTAAAAAAATGCAAATACCTATAATCAAATTAAAAGTTATTGTATTACCCACAAGAAGTCAGCTTTAATCTCTCCCTTTTTTCTCTTCAGTTCTTCTACTTATATATACATGAACCCACGTGCTTTTTTCTAAAACTAATGATTACTTGGGTAGTGCAGGTAACTCCATTCTCTTCATACTTTAATTCTCAAGTTGAAGCTTAAGTACTTGTGGGTACTCTTCCAGCTCAGCTGATATATGTTTCACTTCCTTTCTACTTTCCTTATCCCAGGCAGACTATTTTTGTTGAGTTTTAACACTTTTCCAGTTCCCAAACTCTAAACTTGGGATAACTCATTGGCTCGTGATGAATGGACGTGAGATATTTCCTACTGCTTTCAGAACAAAGGGATGTGAAATACAATGGATATTTCTTACAGGATCACAAATAGTCTCCATGGTAGTGTCTCTTCTGTGGCAGCTTGTTGCCACAGAGGCCCTTTTGTTTTGTGGACCAGTGGGGTTGGTTATTGTGCTGTTCAGAGGTGCCTGTGACACAGTGCTGACCGGTTAGACTAAAACCCTGAATGAAACAGGCCTCTGTTATAGACCCTGCCTTTGAGAACTTGAAAAAGACGCAAAAACTGCAATACATGGCGTAATTGTTTAACAGTGCACACAATGGAGACAGAGAGGATGACAAACAGCATTGCTAGCTCTCCTGAAATGCTAGAATTCAGGAGAATTCTG